TTGGTCCACGCTGTCATGGAAAAGTATTTGTTCAGAGAAAAGATGCTCGCTTCTTGCTTTATGGCACCGGACCCCTTGACCGAAGCGAATAACCTCCATGATCCCAACTTGGAGCACGTGTTGCAGGACAAGGAGAGGTTGTATCAATACTTGTTCGGAGACTCCGTAAGAGGAAGCCATGCATATCAGTCCACTGCGGGGGCTTCAGGTGAGAACGAGTCTGAGCGAAGGAAGAGGGAGAAGGTAAGGAGAGAGAACAAAATGCCATGGATGGATGAGTACTGGGGAGTCCTTCAGCCAGAACCAATATACTCGAGGACTCAAAGGTGGTACGTCATTGATGACTTCAAGGAGGGTGAGGAGATTTGCTGCGATTACTGTTTGGTCTGCAATCCCATAGACTCCGATCTGAAAGACGATTGCTATGCGGAATGCATCAACGGAGCAGCAAATAGATGCCGTGGGATGTCCGCAGAAGACTACGTCCAGAAGCGATTCCATGCATGTGCTCGATTGCTTTACAACTTCGGCATGGGGCAAACGGTATCTTCTCCCACCGCCATGATCTCCGAGATGAACCCGCACGTAGACTTGATGAAGTTCTTACATGAAGCGATGATCATCTTTAACGGGAACCCCGGTTTCCAGAAGGAGCTCTCGTTCTTCGGAGGGATCAGATTGTCATCAACAATGACGGAGAACTTCTTCAAAACGAGGAGAGGACCCAGCATTCACGTGGAAAAGCAGATAGTCGGCAGCGCCAAGTACTACCAGGGATCCTATGACCTTGGAAACGTGTGCTACACCAAATACCTCAAGACCATACTGGAGCCCGATGTATTCCGCACGATGTTCGGAGATGATCCTACGGAGGAACGGGTAGGTGATATGGTGGAAGCGCTGCTGGGCATGTTGGAAGTTGCTCAACTCTTCAAACACCTGTTCTTGGGATGGGGTGACATTGAGGCTTTGAGGACGGGATTAGAAGAATCCATCAAGCGCGTCACTGCATCGCTGTATGACAGGACAACGTATGAGAACCGAAAGCGATCGATGATCAGAACATTGGACCCGCACTCTGAAGAGGCGGCAAACGTGGCACTGATTCTCGTTCGCATGAGGACCATGCCGCCTCCTGAATTCGACATCGACCACTTCTTCGAAATCGGGAAGGAGCCAGAACATGGAGCAGAGGCTACTGGCCAGCCCGAGGCCGAAGGTGTCGATATGGAGACTGAATGTGAGCAGGAGAAGGAGGAGCAAGACGTTGACATGTCCGATCCGAAGACATCAATACTGCAAGCCATCGACGAGTTCGAGAAGAAGATCGGGCAAGCAGAATTCTGCATCCACTGCATGATGTCGGGACACACAACTCTCAATTGCGAGAAGACCCCTTCATCCTCACCTACAGTTACCTCAGTGTTGAGTGATTGGAAGAAGAGAGTGAAGGGAGAGGTTGCGCCCGACGATGTACCATCCGGACACCCAACCGATGAGCCTAAGAAGAAGAAGCAGAGAGCATCGCCTACTCCAGATAGGAAGGTCGATAGCGAGTTCAGGCGAAAAGAAATGTTGAAAGCAAGAGTCGTGACAATGTTTGACCATGACGGGTTCACCTTGATTGAAAGTGCCGATGGAGTCGAAGGAGGGACACATTCCTACAATGGGCGGAAGCTTGCGGAAGTTGGCCCTAGGGATATGAGGGTGGTGTACGAATTTGTTGAGAGGGCATTTGTGCACTCCAGTTCCCTCAAACCAAAGGCATGTCATCAATTCTATCCCCTACCGACACGGAGGGAGAAAGGATACAAGCCGATCGACCCCATGACGATGATCGGGAAAGTTGAGCTAGTACCGATCAACGGAGTCACTTTCGCTGCACAGAACTCCGACTACGGCAACCTCAAGTATCCGACTCGAGACTGTCGAGTACCTGAATACAGCCAAGCGAGTCAGGCCCTGAGTCGCCGATTGGGAGCGAAGTTGAGGCATCGAATTGGACGCCAGTTCAGAACAGGAGGAAGACTCACACCAATCAAATGCGATGAAGGCGCATGGGTGTCATGGGAAGACCTGTTAGCTGATAACGCAGTTTGGGAAGACGGTTATCACTATGGCAACATAGACATCGTGACCAAGAAGGCGCGTTTGGAGAAGTACCTCGACCAGAACTATGAGTGTTTCCGCATAACCAAGAGGATCAGGTTCCAAATGTTGGCGGTCCGCGTTCACCCTGATGAACTCAATGATCCTGATGACCCGATGGAGAAGGAATGGATTGACGAGCTCAAGGGCATGGGAATCTCCAAAGGAAGACTCCACAATAGCGATGGATGGTGCTTTCCCGTGGCTGTAAGAGCAACCTCAGCACACTCGTCGGACGGTGGAGGTTATGACGTTACCATCAACATCGACCACATTGGATCGAGAATGACCAACGACATGGCCCTATCCATGGTGACTGCATTTCACGCTACCAATCTTGGAGCGCTGACTTCAATCATGCGACGGGGGCTAGTGCCAGGAGGTCTCGGTGCATCGGGAAGGGATTCTATCCACTTCACATGTTTTCCGCCATGGGCCTGGGAGCAGGGCTACAAGGGAAAACCTTGGCTGGGTCGTAAGGTCGCATTGAGTGATCGCCCAGTGGTTCTCTACATTCCGGTGTCGAAGCTGCAGGAGTACGGGCTTCTCATCTCAGCGACTGGATCTCTATTGGTTGAGGACGTCGTTCCCTTCGATGAGGTTAAAGGGGCATGGTTGCAATGCGACAATGCAGAACCCGGACAGCCTGAGGAGATCGAATGGATCAGGTTACTCAATAGAGAACCCGACCCTGGAAGCTACCTTGTTCTGGAGTCCAAATACGGAAACCCGATCATGACTCCACGCTATCAAAAGCTTGAGAGCTTAGCGGTTGAGGTCCAGGATGATACCTACTCCGAGGACGACGCCAAGATCTCAAAGCTGCTGGGCATGGTCGAGGAGAGTGGTGTCTACCCAGAGTACGATAGCACCGAACGGCAGGAAATCTTCGAGGAGATCGTGTACCGCCGAGCAATGAAAGACTATGACTCAAGACCGTGTCCCAACTGTCTTGGCGAAGTCGATGTGCGATTGACGATATGTCCGCACTGCGTAGCGGTTTTGATCGCGAATGGGAAGCTCACGCATGTGGTACCCAAGGAGACAAGGGACCGCAATCAACGATCACCTCCGAGAGACGTGCCAGCCAGTTCTTCCGGTGAAGCAACTTCTTCTGCAGGTGCAAACATCGATGAAGTCATCAAGAATGCACGCAAGACAGCCGAAGAAGTCATTGACGTCGAGGAGTCCGAAGGTGAGGAAGACGAGGAAGTTCCTATCATCTTGAAGGAACGACCGGACGAAGCCGAAGGCGAACCCGAATATCGGGAGGTCCCTCAAGATGGATACGGGAATGAACTTCCACAGCCTTTCCCCTTCGCAATTGACGAATTGCCGCAAGAAGCTGCGATCCCCATCGACCACAACTTTGCAGTCACACAGCAATTTGATCTGAGGTTGATGAAGTTGATCAAGAGCTTGGCCAACGCAACGTTCGACATCAATTGCTTTGAGAGTCGTGAAGACGTACTGCGAAAGTTCGACGATGGACAGCGGCATGATACTCCATTCAATAGATGGCCATTAGTACCGAATGATCCGGATACCGGGTTTCCGAGACGCCTTCAGAGAGCCGAAGTCGTAGGCATGAGCAAATGGACCAACGACACGTATGCAACAGAAGCGTGGCAGATCTATGAGTTCCATGCCCACGTTATTCACCCGATGATGATCACTGCAATCCGCTGCGGGCTTAGCCACAAGTACCTCAAAGAGGTCGGAAGCACTCGGCGTAACATGAGTGATCCGAAGGCTCAAAGATCTGAGACCCAGGAAGAGATCATCGAGAAACTGGCATTCATCTCAAATTTCATCAGGCGCTTGATTAGGAAGACTTTCGGAGCGAGCCGATATAGTTACTACCAGAAACCAGACGATGAAGGTGCCGCTCCATACAAATTCATCGACATTAGCCCCGCCATCAAGTCGGAGCGGAAGAATGTCACAAAGGAGATCCTCGTCGCATGCCGCTACTACGGCATAGAGGTATCCGATACTCAAACGCAGAAGTTGAAGTCCTTCGAGGAGCAGATCCGGAGGGGAAACCCAAGGAACGTTGAGCTCATCAAGGACTACATTGGCTTTGTCGGAGCTGACTACATGCGACAACTCACGAATGGTTGAGCATCGGGGTCATACCGACATACTACTTCCGGTACTTCAAGTACTGAGGGATCTTGGGTAATTCACGATGACCATTTTGGCATCATGGGAGTGAAATAGGATTGTGTTTCACACCGTTGGTAATCGCATGATACCATAGGTAGGTGCACGTTTTCCGTTTGTAGCTCCGTTACCTGTTTGATCCAACTTTCAAGCGAATGCAAGATCGTTTGCTAATTCAGATCAATAGGACATACTGATTGACCTCCAATGCACTTTTGAGAACATGATTCGTTCTCCGGTTTTTACATCCACTCATCTCCCTTCCCCGTCGAAGCACGGATGTGGGGGGTGTCAATAGGGATGAGGTCTCAGTATAGTCGCTATACAGGTACATGCCATATACTTTTGGCTCAAGTGCCCAACCAGGTAAAAAGGAGCTTTAGCGCGCGAGCTTCATGTTAAACTAAGGGCTAGAACGGGGCCAGGGGCACGCTTTTCATCCGTTCGCAAAAATTATGTAAATATATATATATACTGTACTATACTGGAATTTCACCACACAACACTTTGTGGCCAAGAGGAAAAGGGTGTGTGACAACTTGGATTCATGACACTCACTTTGGGAGGACAGTCATGGAAGATGTGACCAAACTCGATGAACACAAGGAATGACCAGGAATCTGCCAGAATGAATCGACGGTCATGTTCAACAAATCACGTAGCGACGGCATGTTCGACGGCACAAGGATTGGGGCCTTCAGTTTCACTTCGCTGGAACTTCACCTGCAGTCTCTCGATGTGAGAAATCTGGTGATCATCGGGCTTCCAACCGATGTTTGCGCCCTGGCTGCAGCTGCAGGCGGCTGCAGGCGGCTGCAGGCGGCTGCAGGCTGCCCTGAAACATTCGATCTTTCACATTGGAATTGGAACCGTTTGGAACCTGGTGCATGGAATTTCAGCGTGCTGAGCATTCGTCGCAACTATGCAGGTGTTCACACAACCATGCGGCAAGCCAATGATCGTGGATATGAATGCATACTCTTATCCGACTGCACCGCTGCTGCTTTTTCAGAGACATATTATTCAGCGGCCTGGCAAAAGCGCCGTTGTTGGTTTTGCTTGGGGGCTGCACTGATTGGAAAGAGCCAGAATGTCTTTGGCGGGAGCAGGTGCTTGGTGCTTTTTCACGTGAGCTAAAAACTTTGGAGCCTTGAGCCTTGAGACGAGCATGCATGTGAAGAGTGAAAGCATGCATGTTGTGCGATTCATCAGGCCTTGAAACAGATCAAAATGCAACATGGAGTGTTTGGCGCCGATCTTAATGCGGTCCAAACAAAAAGCTTCCGCTGGCTTTACTTGAGAGAATGCGCACTTGGTGGAGACGTGCTGCAATTCAAGATCGATGGTTCATTCAATTTGTGACAGCGGCATGTTGTTTTTTGCAGATGTATGCAGATACATTGATTGCACAGTGGCGAGGTGCAGTGGCCGACAGCACGGCTTTGCTGGAGGTACTTGGAGCACCTAGGAAGCATCTCGCAAGCTCCAGTGGATATGCAAGTTAAAGTTAAAGTGCTCAAGAGCAGCTGCGTCTCCTGTGGCTAAGGGTAGGCGGGGAGCAATGACACGCGACTGGCGACAAACAAAAACAACTCCAGCATGTTCAAATGGGCAGCTGAAATACAGGCAATACGGCAGTAGTGGCGTGAGTTTGAAGCCACCTTCTTGTTGTATGGTTCACTCGTTCCATGTTTTGTTGTGGTTGTGCCATGTTGTGCCCTACTTGTAGGTTGTCCCAAGCTTAGTCAGTGACGGTGATAGTGGTAGTGGTCGAAGTAGAAGTTGTAATCGCAGGTGCGGTGGATGTAGTTACTTGTAGGGTCGACAGCAGTAGTTGGAGTTGCCGTCCTCCTCATAAGTAAAGGTCCTAAAAGGCCCTAAAGGGATCTAAAGGGATGAAGTCAAGTCCATGACCTGCGAACATAGTAGAAAGGGGCAACCAATCGGTCCGAGGAATACGGGCTTTCACATGAAGCTGCTCCAGACCGTCCTTCAGCTCCCTTGAATCCAGGCATGGAACAGTCACCCATGTAGTCAGAAGTTTGTAACAAATGATGCTTCCAGTTGCCATATTTGTGGTTTAAAGGATGCTATATAATTGGAATGGTGGTGAAATGGTGGTGATGCTCGCCTTTACAGAAGACATAAATATTTTCATTATATAAGGAGCACCTGCTTTCAGGATAGACAGCATAATTAGGTTTACTAGCTGCGGATGGTCTTGATATCTCTTGGTTGGGGGCTGTTGGCTCCCGGACTTACGCTGTGACAGGTGTGAACGTTGAGCCCGACAGCAAGCGTTTGAGGAGCGCGAAGTGAGAAGAAAAAGGTGTCGCAGAGGGGGCATCGTCAACTCTTGCAAGCCTGTTGAGATCTGTGTCGCGCCCCATAGTTGCAGATACACAGGCATGCAAGTCACGAGATAGAACACCTCACAGTTGGGATGCAGATATTGAGAGGGGCTGCAGACGCTGCTGGAGATGCAATGAATTGCCAAATTGGTGTTGAAACTTGAGTCAGAGGATATTTGGATATATATTATATATATACATATATCACACACACACATATATATATATAATATATATTTTTTTTCTACGCTCCTTTTCTGTTCTCACGAGCTGGCCGTTTTGGCCCTGAAACAGCTAGGTAGCTGTTGCTGTTGTGTGACCTTCTCGCACTTGGACCTCAGTGCTTTGCTGGCTGCGATCTGTTCGCCTTTGACCAATGCATTCGCCTTGCATCGTTGACAAAAGATCTTGCGGCCAGTGCGCCGCATCTGATGCGTCTGGTGTCCGTTCCACTGGCCTTCAGGTGTCCATTCTCCATGCCAACATTTGGTCATGGCTAAGGCCTCCAGCTTTTCCCTTGAGGAATGCTTGAGTTGTCTGCCATGGCACCGTGTACACACCACATAGTTGGTGTGAATGTGGAATGTGTGTTCTCCCATGAAAGGCAGCTGTCCACTGACCATAGTGGCCAGAAACTCTGACTTGGATCCGGCCTCTTTGGTTTCTGTCGGGGCACCACCAATCATCGGGATTGTTAGCGGTGTTGGGCATGCTTCTTCAGCCGCACTCTGGATCTCTGCCACCTTGTGGTGCATAGTCAGCCTCTTTTTGCATTGGCTGCATTGAATGCTGCGCCCTTTGTTCTCCCACTGGTGTCCCTCCGGATTGGTTTGGGGAACCAGACTCAGGAAAAGGGTTTTCTTGTGATCCCGGGCTTTCTGACGTGCCTGCTTGCCACTCTCTCTTGCCGTGTGCAGAAAATGCGTCTTCTCTTCAAGCAAAAACTGGATGCGCTTCACCACCAAAGGAGCTATTCGCCTGTACTTTTTGTCCTGCTCCTGTAGGATCTTCTCTTGCTCGATCGGTTGCATGGAAAGTGCCACTTCATGTGCTGCCTTCTTGGCATCTGCCATTCGGTTTCTCAAAGACCACTCTGTTTTGGGCATGTCCTTGAGCTGGTCAGCCGAGATGGCCAACACTCGAATGCGGGCCCTCTGATCCAGCGAGATGAGGTTTTGCAGGTCGTGGAAAACATCTTTGTGCTTGTATTGTGTCCATGCCTCATGTGCTCTTGTTGAGCTCACATGCACCACCAGAGGCGTTTGCAAATCCACATAATGAGCCACCATTCTGACTCCGTAGTACCATGCACGTTCCCAACTCTGGCGGCCCGGCAGTACAGTGATTACTGCTCCTTGACGGAAAAGTTGACCGCCAAGCTGGACATGGTGCACAATGGCCACAACAAAATGTCGTACTCGAACATCTTTGGAGGTTGTGGAGATGCCTATCGTCACCACCTCTTGTCTCTTGAGCCGTAGCTCATCATGGGTGGACCAAGATCCCCATGCCTGGACCGCACCACCACCTGTCGAAACCTGAAGATCAGGTAGTTGGAGAAGTCCTTGGGACCAGAACTCTAAGTTCACTCCGTGCTCCAACTCGAAAAGATCTTCTGCTGCGAGCTTGGGGAACCTTTTGTTTGTCTCTTTACAAAGCCAAAGGACATGCACGGATGTTGCCTCTTGCCCACAGTGCGGGCAGGTCAAATGTTGTTCCCCATCTGCTACCTTGGTGAAGATAGCTCCCTGATGCCATGTCATGAGCGCAACTGCATTTCTCTGATTGAGCTGCTTGCTTTGTCTGAGCCATGGCAACCAGTCCAGCGGCTGCTGGATCTCATGAAGGAAAGAACGCTGACTGATGGCATGAAGACGGTCGGCAGCTTCAGCTCGTTTCAACTCTGCTTTGAGCACCAACCACGATGAATTCATGTCCAACTTGAAATCCTCCTGTCCATTGTATCCAGGTTTCGTCCAGACCCCCGGATTGTCTGCTGTCCAGCCTTTTTCCTGGAGGTAACATTGCAAAGCCGCAACTGGGCCTTTGGCCACCTGCCAGGGATATTTGGCCTGTTGAAGCCTGGCTGCATGAACTTGCCAAGCCCTCTCCAAATCTTTCCCAAGATGTTCCGGCCAGGCGCCATAGAACTTGTGGAAGGACTTGATCTGGTCGATGAAAGCCCCATAGTCCGGATCTTGGTGCCTCTTGAGCATATCGAAGAGGATGTCTAAATTTCCGGTCCTTTGCAATCCCATTTGCCGGCCCATTGTTGCCCTCAGCCTTTTGCGCACCTGTGGAGCCAGTCCCATGCTCTCATGACCCCAGCTGATTCCAGCCACAATGCTGCCCTTGTAGAGTTTGAGGCGAATGGAACGTAGAGGAATCTTGAGGACCTGCAACTTCTTTGTTTTTCTGCATGCCTTCAAACGTCTTTGTTTCATGGTTTGGATCCTCCTCAATCTCCCTGCCGTGCAGTCAATGCCTAGATCCCTCATCACATCATGGACACCCGGTCCTGCTGGGGGAAGTTGTTGTTGCAAAAGGGTCTTGGCCTTTGCATTGCTGACCACAAATCCAGTCTTCTTGGCCGAAATCACCAAATCATCTTCTTGCAGCAGCCGGGTGATGTGGTTGTAAGCCGCGATGGCAACCCTCACTGCATTTTGCGGGCTCCGGTCTACCACATCGAAGGACAGGTCATCGATCCAAAGATCCGTGTGAAGCTGAGGAAACTTCTTGTGGAACTGCTTTAGTGCAGGCTGCAGGTAAATCTTTGCCGCCAGAGGAGCTTGAGGATCTCCGGCAAGGATTCCATTCTGAGCCCAGATTTGTTTGGATGCCTCTCCTTCTGCTTCCAGTATGCGTCCACCTGCGTAGACTTGTAGGGCCAGGGCTGCATGCACTGGAGGGTAGTCAGAGTCCAACCATCTTGCGCCCAATTTCTCAAGGTTGATGCGGTCATAGAAATTGGACATGTCCATCAATACTGAAACCACCGTCTTTTGCATGGCGTTGTGGTGTTCTGTCATGTACGCTCTCTTTAGGGCAACTTGGAGGCATTCGGTGCCTGGCATGGCTCGCTCCCAGAAATACTCATGTTGGATGTCCAACTGCCATTGCCTGGTGTAGGGGGAGCGTAGTCGGCACCACAACCTGTACATGGTAGCCACCAAGGCTATTGGTCGCTCTATCTCCGCATTCTTTGGGATGAGAGCGATCAATGAAACCGCCCATTGGTTTGGAATTGTAGCTTGAGCTTCAACTTCGTGGAAGAATTCAATCAGGTTCCTCATCGCCTGGAATGGAAGAGCCTTCAGGAAATCAAAGCCAACACCATCCAAACCTGGCGCTTTTTGAGACAACTGCTTGATCGTTTTCCAGACGTGCATGTCTGTCAGTGGCTTTAGGTCATTGGCATGTTGTTGGGCCTTCTGCTTCAATGGTTCCAGTGCTGCTGGCTGATGTGGTTCATCTCGCTGCTTCCAGATTTGTCCCCATTGGTTCAGCCTGCTGGCCATGCGTTCTGTGCGAGGTTGCCCTTGGAAAGGTCTCTGGTACGGCAGCTCATCCTTTTTTAGGGATCTGTACAGTCCCCTGCAGCCTTTTTCAGTAGCCTTGCTCATCCAAGTGCGGTAGATTTCTGTTTCCACTGCAAGGGATTCTGCACTGTGTAGTTCACGTTGTTCTTTGGCAAACTTGAGCAGAACCTGAAGGTGTTCCTCATCATGTGTCGTCCAGAGCATGTTGAACAACATCCTGAAACCTTCCAACGTGACTTTTGCTTCTCCATTCCAGTGTTCTTCCAAATGCCAGCCCAGCTTCTGAAGGTGATGAAGCTTGCCAATGTCCCATTGCGGTCTGTGTAGGTGCTGCTGTAGGCGAACTTCAATCTGCGCCCAAAAAGCCTGCCCCCCTTTTCTCCAGAGCCAAGGTTTGCTTGGATCGTTCAAAGGCTTGGTGACATAGGTGAGGTGGGTGCCCCTGCCCAGTTTGGGATTCTCTAGGTTTTGGAGTACATAGCGCTCGATCTTGCTGTACAGTTGGCCCGCCTTGTTGGTGAGAGGATTGGTGGCCATGGCAAGCCAGTGAACCTCAGCGTTCTCCTCCTTGACCTGTGTCCATTCTCTAGTGATATGCTCAAGCCTGGGTGCCGGATTGTGTCTTTGTATCTGTTGCATGGCAATGTGTTCAACACTCCGATTCAGCTTGCAGTTCATTTGAGCATGGGGTCGGAAAGGGACAATCCAGTTTGCTTCAATGCTCAACTCCGCTGCAAGGTAGTCAGTTGCCAGCATCCAGTCAAGCTCCCGGCCTGTACTGCATGTGTCCTCTCCTGTGGCCACCACCTGCACCTTCATGATGGAGCTCATAGTGGTTGTCATGAACTCTTCCGGCGTGACATTGAAGTCCCCTGCTATGATGACCGGCTTGTGGATGCCAGTGACAAAGGTCAACAAAGCAGACCATAGCAACGAGTTTGTTGTGCCTTGTATGCCTTCTCCACATTTGAAGTAAACAACCACAATGACCAGGTCCAAATTTTGAAAACTCCAATGAACTGCATACCATCCACAGCCGTCAATCACCTGTTTTTGAACAAAGTGGAAATGTTGATCCAGCGGATACAGCACAAGAAAGCCCCCGTTGGTGCCTCCTTTTGGGCTGCTCGCAGCTGGGTGGCCCAGAACTCCCAGGCCTCTTGTAGCAAACCATTGATGAACTTTCTGAAAATCTTCTTGAGCCAGATGCGTTTCCACCACAAAGATGGGTGTCCTCGGGCGGCATAGCAACCATTGTCTGACTTCTGGTCCAAGACTCGTCACATTGGCAAATGTGAACGGGATGACTGCTTGGCAGTGTCGCTTGGCGGGTCTCTCCTCTGACTGTTCTGCTGTGTGAGTTGGGAAATCACAGGGAATGTCATCCGGCAGCAAACTTTTGGACGGGATGGCCCAAACCTGAACA